GCGTGGGCTGTGGATGGAGCGTGCGCCGAGGCGGGAGCGTGGGCCGAGGAGGGAGCGTGGGCCGAGGCAGGAGCGTGGGCTGTGGATGGAGGGTGGGCTGAGGAGGAGCGTGGGCTGTGGATGGAGCCTGGGCTGTGGATGGAGCGTGGGCTGAGGCGGGAGCGTGGGCTGTGGATGGAGCGTGGGCTGAGGTGGGAGCGTGGGCTGAGGAGGGAGCGTGGGCTGAGGTGGGAGCGTGGGCTGAGGAGGGAGCCTGGGCTGTGGATGGAGGGTGGGCTGTGGATGGAACGTGGGCTGTGGATGGAGCCTGGGCTGTGGTTGGGCAGACAACAGGGCGGGCTCATGGGCGATCAGGAGGGGTCCTCTGTAACAGAGGCCCCCACACCCTTGTTGGGAACCAGGTCGCACAGCAGGAGGTGAGCAGTGGGTGGGTGAGTGAGTGAAGCTTGGTCTGTATCTACAGCCACTCCCCATTGCTGTCATTACTGCCTGAGCTCCGCTTCCTGTGAGATCAGCGGTGGAATTAGTCTCACAGGAGTGTGAACCGTGCATGTGAAGGATCCAGGTTGCACGCTCCTTATGAGAATCTAACGCCTGATGACCTGTTACTGTCGCCCATCACCCCCAGATGGGACTGTCTAGTTGTGGGAAACAAGCTCAGGGCTCCCACTGATTCTACATTATGGTGAGTTGTGTAATTATTTTATTACATATTACGATGTAATAGAAATAAAGTGCACAATAAAATTGCACTTGAATCATCTCAAAACCATTCTCCACCCCCACCCCGGTCTGTGGAAAAATTGTCTTCCACGACACTTGTCCCTGGTGCCAAAAGGCTGGGGACTGCTGCTCTATGAGAGGGCCTGCTGCTGGGCTGTGAAACCCCCTGAAAAGAAGGACAAATGCCAGGCTCTTGGTAATGGGAGGACATTACCAGGGCAGAAACACCCAATGTGAAGCTCTATGTGGTGAATTTCTATGTGTTGGTTAATTGCGTGTGTGAATTTGACTGGGCCGCAGGGCGCAAAGATGTTTGACCCAGCGTCACTCTGGGGGTGTATGAGGAGGTTTCTGAATGAGATGAACATTCGAATCAGGAGATTGTCAAGCGAACGGCTCTCCGCAGGGTGGGTGGGCCTCATCCAATCAGTTGAAGGTCTGAATGGAACAAAAGGCTAAGAGGAAACTCCTCATGCCTGACGGCCTTTGAACTGAGGCATTGACTTTTTCCTGCCATTGGACTTGAATGAAAACACCGATTCTTTCTGGGTCTCAAGCCTACTGGCCTCCAGACAGGAGGCCAACGGCTCCTACAGATGGTGAGGCTTCTCAGCCTCTGTAACTGTGTGAGCCAATCCCCCTCTCTCCTTTCCTCTCCCAGCCTGTATCTGTATGTTTGTATCTATATGGATGTGGGTCCTGTTTCCTACTGGCTGTTTCTCTGGAGAGCTCTGGTTCCTGCACTCTCTTTTGCTGTTTGTGGCTCTAAGTCACAGTATGTTAAAGTTCGGGTTTAAGAGTATGCATGCTGCCGCGTCTAAATATGTGGGAATAAGTACAAAAATCCTTTACATCATCAGATGTGTCTCATCAAATGGGCTATTTTCTCTCCACAGGCTAAGCTGCAAGTTCTTTGGAGTCGAAGGACCAGTAACTTTGCCCTCACCTGCCCCCTACTGGTCCACTCACCAGGACACCAGGCAGGACATTTGTTCCACCCTGACTGTGAGGCAACCCCCTGGGGATCCTGCTAAGACACAGCTGCTGACATGGGAGATGGGGGCGCCTGAGGCCCTGCATTTCTAACACGCTCCCAGGCAATGCCCGTAATCCTGGTCCTCAGGCCAGAGTCTGAGAAGCAAAAAAATAAATAACTTATAGGGCCCCTTGCCTTTCCTCAAAGTCTGGTTATATTTTCTAGGTAATAAGTGCTATTAGTACCTGAAAAGGAGAACAGAATGGTTTAAGGATAGCTGGAGGCAAAGAAAATGCAGCGTCTTCTAAAATCACTAACTCAAATAAACGGGCTGCCTCTCCGGGGAGACACCTGGGAGGAAAGCGAGCTGCGGTGAGCTCATTCGCAGGCATTTCTCCTTCGGGATTTACATTGCTTTTGTGCGTAGCTTCTTTGGAAAATTGCTTGGTTTATTGTCCTCACACAGTTTTGTCTCATTATGGGACACAATGAAAGAGAATGAGTTAATGGTTGAAAGAAATACATTTTGGAGAGAGAAGGAGAAACATGACATTTCCAGATCATTAATTTTTTAATGACTTCTTAGAGAACTTCCTTGTTTGAAGATTTCATCAGGAAGATGGCATACGTGCATGCGTGTTTCTTAATTTATTTTTGTGGCCTTAAGTCCTAGGAAAAAATGGTACTGGACAACTGAAAGTGGCATTTACTTGAAACCACACAGGAGTAAGTACATCATAATTCCGGGAGTTTGCTGTGGCAACTTGCAAAGGCCTTTCACACAGGTGGACACCTGTCACTTTTCGTGAAGAACCCCCATGTGCTGGCAGACAGCGGCTGCACACACATTCAGGAGATTGCAAGAAGTAATTTCCAACAGCAAATGAGACATTAATTATTCAATGCAGATAAACATCAACAACAGCGCTTCATCCAAAGGAATTCCACTGGGATCCAGGGGCTCTGCGTTAAAGCTCAGTTCAGTCCTCTGCACATGGTGACCTCAGACACAGTCTCTGTGCCTCAGACTCACCGCTGTAAAATCATGTGGCCTGTCGATGGGTCCACGTCACCTGCAGCTTCTTAGTCCTCATTCTGAGGACATGATATGCCCTCTTAGCAGCGAGCCCTGGAGGGGCTGACTTGCAGCAGTGTTTGCCAGTTCCCATGGTGAGTGGGGTGCACGCTCTGCTCTCTGTGGCTGTGCCAGCTTCAAAGTTCTTTATGTTCAGACACAGAAAAACTGCATCACTAGCGAAATAAAACAAGGAGCAGACAGATGTGTCTTTTTCTCAGGAGGTCGTGTTTGATTGACTAAAACAGCGAGGAACCTTTTATTGGGTCTGGCCTCCTGTGCGTCCTACACGATGTGGGCTGGTTCCATCACAGCCCACCGTGTTCACCGTCTTTATTTCTGTAAGAGCTCCCTGTGTGTGCTGCCCTCTGCTTGCCTGGGTGCTCACAGCGGGAGGCTGAGGGTGTAGCACAGGTCCTTCCTGCCCTGGTTCTGCATTCACACTATAAAAGGCACTTACAGAGCCACTACCACAGCCCCAAACTGCAATCATGAACTAATACCTGCATTGGATCAGGGGGCTAGAAAAGATGAAAGATCGATGGACTGTCACTGCTGCATGCTGGGATCTCTGGCTGCAGCACGAGGCACCACACGTGTGGGCTGTGGGAGCAGGCGTGACCTGTGGGCTGGGGCATGAGACTCCCCACTGGGGAGACCCCATCCCCTGCTGGACCAGCTTCCTCAGCATCACCATCATGGACAGACTCCACTTTGCTGGTGGCCCTTCTTTTGGGGACCCGTTAAATCGGGGGAGCCTACTTCTCCCACTGGCAAAGTCCTCTTCTCTCCTGTACGTGATTGGAAACAAGAATAGGAGAAGGCAAAAAAGGCCTGCAAGGGGAGTGTCTCAAATCCCTATGTCTGAGGCCTTGTAGGAGCAGCTCTGCTGTGCTTGGAAGGATTGGGGTATGTTATGGCAGGCTACAGGATAACCCTCAAAGATGTGCACGTCCTAATCCCCGGGACCAGGGAATATGCAACTTTATGTGGCAAAAGGAAATTTGCACCTGTGGTTAAGGCTCGTGAGATGAGAATTCATCCTGGGTTATGGGGTGGGCCTGATGTCAACACAAGGGCCTTTGTAGGAGGGAGGCAGGAGGGTCAGAGGCAGAGAAGGCGATGTGGCTGTGAAGGCAGAGATCGAGAGAGCTTGGAGACTGCTATGCCACCGTCCTTGAGGAGGGAGGGTGCAAGTGGCCTCTAAAAGCGAGAAAAAGCAAGGAAAGGATCCTCTCCTGGAGCCTCCAGAAGGAATGTAGCCTGCTGACAAAATTCCGGCCTCCGGAACTGTAGGAGAGTAAGCGTGTGTGTGTGTGCATGTGAACATGTGTGTGCCTGTGTGTGCATGTGTTTGTGTGCATTGCATGTGTATGCCTTCATGTGCGTGTGTGCGAATGTGTGCATTTGTGTGTGCTCGTGTGCATGTATGTGTCTGCATGCGTGCATGTATGCATGTGTTTGTGTGTGTGTTTGCTTGTGTACCTGCACGTGTGCATGCGTGCGTGTGCGTGTGCATCTGTGTGCGTATGTGTATGTGCATGTATTTGTGTGTGTGCATGCACGTGTGTGCCTGTGTGTGTATGCATATGTGCGTGTGTGTATGTGCATGTATGTGTGTGTGTGAATTTTGTGTTCTTTCCATGACCACCAGGTTTGTGGTCATTGGTTACAGCAACCACAGAGATATAGTAACATGAGTGTTGACAGCACTGAACAGCAACCCAGTTTTGAGCTGGTAGACGGTATTCTGGGCCCATTTTATTGACTATTACACCTGTTTTAGCCCATGTGGATATGGCTAAAGAGTGATGGACGCAGAAAAAGAAAAAACGATTGGGAATTTAATGATCAGACCATGGAAAATGAAGTGGTTAGATCCTTCGTGTGTGGTGAGTCTTTAACTCCTGGAATTTAGAGTCCCGAGCAGTTGTGTCTCCAGCTGCAGACACTCGGTGTACGTGCTTCAGGGTGGCGTCCTCACCCAGCCATCTGCCCTGTGCTTCCCACAGCTGAGCTGGTGGAGGATGGGTCCACAGATGGGAGTTACAAAGGCGAAAGTTGGAGGGAAATATTCCGGAATATAAAAGTGCGTCTTGTGCTTTTACAAATCACATTGGGTGAGACTAAGACGCCTCTGGAAAGAGCAGCATCTCCCAGCCTCTGCACATGGTCTCTGCCTCTCCACTCTGAGGTTATGAGAACATCACCGTGGCTCTCAGTTGCCTGAGATCCAGTTCCTCCAGTTAAATGCTGCGTTCGCCCCGTGGGTGAGGGTCTTCACTGGTGGGTTCACCAACTCCCATTTTCCTTCCTCTTTATTTTCTTCACAGAAGCACATGCCCAGGGAAGGGATCTAGAACGGAGTTTTAAATCACTTGTTAATATCTTACAAGTCCATCAACTTCAGACTATCTCCAAAGCCAATGGTCAGGCGCTTCTCTATTTTGGAGGGTCTGTGACTGCCCAGGCTGGCACTGCCACCATCAAATGGCACCAACATCTGCCCAGGCGGTGCCCCGTGGGGGATGTCCCCTAGCCAGGGGACACTGGGTAATTCTGGAGACATTTCTGATTGTCACAACTGAAGATGGAGGTGCTGCCGACACCTAGCAGGCAGAGGTCCTACAAGGTGGTGCATCCTACAATGCACAGAACGACCCCCACCACAAAGGTCTGCAGGCCGAGGTGGAGATTGCTGTCCACCACTTAAGGAGTGACTTATGTTCTCACATTCAGCATCACAAAAACACACAGACATTGAGTTTTCAGACCCAAAAGAAAAGCACAAAGTGAACCTTCCGACCTCCATCCCTTCATCTGTGAAATGCATGTGTGAGAACAAAGCTTTGTGGTGAAGCCTTTTATTTGTCTTTTGCTTTTCTTTTTTTCCGTCCTCTTTCTAATGTCTAGAAATTCCTCAGGCAGATGAAATTTACAAAAATGCCAACGGGCAGGGGGATCCGAGCGAGGCTGGTGTTGACTCTGGGGTGATTCTCTCCTCGTGCTTGTAGAGGCCGTGGGCGGGGGGCGGTGATGGGCTGGCCGGGGAGGGTCCTGAGTGCTCCCTTTCCAGCTGCCCTGATATGGGGACCTATCTTTTGGCAGAGCCCCCTTTGCATTTTCTGATACGCATGAGCAAGTCCAGCTTATTTTGGGGTGGGGGCAGGGTGGACACCACGTGATAAGAAAGTCCAGGAGCTTGGAAGTTCCGGATTGGCATCTATGGAAGGGGGTGAAGGGTCCAAGGAGCCGGTGGAGCTTTGGCCACAAAGGCTCATGGATTTGGGGAATTGTCAGCAGCTGCCGTGTGCCGTGCTGCCACCCTTGGTTACAGGGACCCCCAGGAGCGCCTGGGGCTGGGGGCTTGGTATGTGTATATGGGGCTGTGGGAAGGCGGGCAGGGACAGGAGGGATGCACCAGAGCACGTGTGTGGGAGATCCATTTGCAGAAAGAAACAAAAGCAGCACTTTGGGAGCAGGTGGTGCCGGGGCTGCCCGGACAGTCCCCAGGAAAATCCATGCAGACCTCTACCAGTGTGACCTGGGGGGGTTGAGCAGCTCTGTTTGGACAATGCTCACCTGGTGGCTCAGGAACCCAGAGCGTTTGGAAACGTCTGGATCATAATTGGGACACACCACCCTGGAAACATTTTGCCGGGGAAGCCTGTTTCTACTCAGGTGCAGAGGAAAATGGAGCAAGACAGGGGGATTCGGGTGTCTGATGCCAACTTGCTGAGTGACAATGACCCGTGGCAGGCATGTTCCTCGTGTGCGTAAGCTCTCATCCAGCTGCTAAGGCAGGTGCAGCTAGAGAGCTAAGCCCTCTTGCAGGCGCCTGGCTGGCGTCACTGAACTGGGTCTGGGAGTTGGGCTCCTCTGAAGCCCCCGACTGCTTGGGGGGACTCAGCAACACCCTCTCTTGCCCACAACTTATGGTGAACAAGCTGTGGCCAGTGTGGTCCTGTGGCAGTGCTGTGTGAAGAAGCCAGGTCAGGGCCTCAAGTCCCTCCGATGCCAGGCATTGTCCGTGCTGCACATGCTGCCTGAGCACTGACCAATGGACTCACGAATGTCATAAAAAGGTCAGAACCATGGGGAGTCCAGCCTTGAGTAGATCTGCAGGGAAGGGCTGGGCCTCGGGCGGGATCTACACTCCTGAGCTTGCCTGCCTCAATTCACCCATGGACTGGACGGCACCCTCTCGCTTTGCTGGGTGATAATCAAGGTTGTTCAAGATGCCACTTGTGCATTATCCTCTGTTTGTCATTCACAAGGCCCTTGCCAGCACCTGAGCACTCTGACAGCTACAACTAGCTCAAGCTTGTTCCATGCTGGGTGACTCCAAGGGCAAGAGGATCAAGGGGCTCCTCTTCATCCACCAGCCACCCTGCCCCAGGTCCCCAGAAGAGGCCAGAAGTGAGTACTACTGTCGTTTCTTCCCTCCTCATCCAAACTGCTGACTCCTTCCTGAACTGTCTGTTTTTCTTTCTTTTTTTTTGGGACGGAGTCTCGCTCTGTGGCCCAGGCTGGAGTGCAGGGGTGTGATCTTGGCTCACTGCAAGCTCCGCCTCCCGGGTTCACGCCATTCTCCTGCCTCAGCCTCCCAAGTAGCTGGGACTATAGGCACCCGCCACCACGCCCGGCTAATTTTTGTATTTTCGGTAGAGACAGGGTTTCACCATGTTAGCCAGGATGGTCTTGATCTCCTGACTTCATGATCCACCCATCTTGGCCTCCCAAAGGGCTGGGATTACAGGCGTGAGCCACCACGTCCGGCAGACTGTCCATTTTTCTACAAGAGCTGCAAGGGGTTATGGCGTGAGCTGACTGGTAAAAAATTGGCAAGTGACCAATGATGATGAGGATGACTGACTTATCCACCAGCCCCGGCCCGAAGTCGCCCTTCACACAAGAGCAGGTGGGCACAGTCTCCAGGGGCACGTGGATCCTGGCGGCCCTGGGCCAGCCAGACACTTGTTTTCGTTCTGAGAAGTGGATGTGATAAACCTGTGTCTTCGGGGTGCTTGACTTTGCAGCCCGAAAAGCCAAGAGTGGGCACGTACCTTTCTCACGAGCTGGGCAAAATCCCCACATTCCCGGGGTGGCAGCCCGAGCAGTGGCCGCGTGCAGGAGTCCAGCGCGGAGCCGTGACTCACGATGAGGATGACGCCCGCTGTGTGAAACAAGAACACCTCCAGGTCAAAGCAGCCCCAGAGAGCACCTTTTGTTAGACCAGGGTCCCCAAACTGGTGGGGGCAGAGCTACCTCAGAGTGCCCCAAAGCCTGGCGAGACCCCTGGGCTAGAAGTAGTGTGGCTGGTAACCGCTTAGTGACGCCTGCATCCCACCCTCGCTCGTGGATTCCCCTGTACTCAGCAGCTGCCCACCAGCCTCAGGGAGGCCTAGGAAGTGAGCTGAGCCACCCCCGTGGTGGCCGGCTGCCTCGGTCCCGTCAGCCACAGACAGGGATGTAGCGGTGGCTGCCGCCCAGGCTGATTCACTTGAGAAAGGTCAGCCGGTGGTTTTATCACATGAGCCTGCTACGACTCCTGCTTTAGATAAGAACACCTGGGACCACAGGCCGAGTGGGCCTCGCTCAGGTGACGCGCGTGTCCCTGCGAGCTCGGGGGAAGGTGTGGGAAGCCAGCGCTTCTGCATATGCTTCATCCAGGACAAAGCAATACGGGAGGGTTAGGAGACCCGTGTGATGGTCAGGGAAGGGGGCTCCACCTGGAAGTTGGTTGTTCTTTCTCTCTGTCTCTTTTGTTTCCCAAGAAGCTGCCTCAAATCCCTTGGACACGGGTGGTTTGTGCTGACCCTGCTGGCCTGGGTCCCATCAGCACTCAGTACCAGGATTGGGGGGTCTCAGGGCCTGGGCGGCAGGGGAGTGCGTGTCTATGCACGTGGTTACTGCAGCAGTAGCAGCGGCGATGAACACTTTGTTGCTGGAGAATGGGGGGTGGGCGGCAGGGGAAGTGGGGGCATTCATCGGTTCCAAAAATTGGCCAATTTCCATCTCAGAGATAATTCCCCAAGCCCCAGGGGCCGTTCATACAGAGGATGGTGAGGCACTTACTGTCCTGTGGGCAGGTGTTGACAATTTGCACCACGCTCGCCGTGCACCTGTCCACATACTCCTGGTAGCTCTCGGCCGGCATGAGGGCAGACAGGGGAAATGCGGGCCTGGAAGGAGGAGATGGAGAGGCTGCTGCCCTGGCCCTTCGGTAGGGATTAGGAGGGCGTGGCTACGGTTAGCTGGGGAAGGAGAACATTCTTCCGGGATGGCTCTGCCTCCAGGCAGGCTCGTGGTCAACAGGGAGGCTCCAGTTTTGTGCTGAAAACTGGCAAAGCACTGACAGTCAATCTCCAGCACACATTCTTACTCAACACCAGGAGGGCTCTGCGATGGCAGAGTCAGACATGGGTGGAGAATGACAAAGACTCTCTCCTTGACCAAACTCCAGTCCAGCTCTTCTGAACCTTCTTCTCGATGAGGTCTTGACCCTTGGGCTTCTGTGTCTGTTCTTGCAGAGTGAATTTAGCAAGAACCTCTTACCCTCGAAATCTGATCAAGTTCCTTGTCCTCTACCACCCCCACCAGGTGATGTCTGATCACCTCGGCCTGCCTTTACCAAGAGTCCCCATTTAGGTTAGTTTAGCAAGAATGACCCACCTTCTCAGGAATTTGCCATCCACCAACTCCCACCCTGCTCTGTGGCTATAACTCCCCACTTTTCCTTGTATTCGGAGTTGAGCCCCACCTCTCTCCCCTGCTGCAAAACCCCACTGCAGCAGTCCCTCTTGAATAAAGTCTTTCTCACCACTTTAACAGTGTCATGAAATTTTTCCTTAATAGGAACTGGAAAAGGCCCAGTGGCAGAGAACTTTCGAACAGCATACCTGTAATCAGTGTCGATGTTGAAATTCGCCTCTTTCAGCTCTTCCAGGCTCATGAGGGTTGGGGTGGTTTTTCCAGCTTCCCATTTTGTCCATTCAAAGATTCCAGGTTCCACTCGTATCTTGATTTTTTCCTCCAGTTTGAGTTCTGGACTCAACAGAATACAAGTGTTTATCATCCTCAACATCCACCCTGACTTTGCATAAATAAGTCTCCTTTTAGATCTAAGACCGTCACACACAAGTCTAAATCATACCTTTTAAACAGTGTGATTTTCTTCTTGGCAAATACCGTTCTGTGATTAGGAATAGCCATGCTATTTCTGAGGTCAAAACTGATGAGCAGTGGGAAGGTATCAGAGGAGTGATGGCCCCCCATGTGCCAGGAAGGACCAGAGTCTCCCAAGAGCTGGTGAGTGTCCCAGGCAGCAGGCTCATGCTGGGGCTCACCTGAGCACCCATGAAACCAGCCCACCACCCGCATCCTCCAACATGGCGGATCCAATGATCAATGGACAAGATGTGACCCATCTCGAAGAATGCTGGCCTCATGAGGCCCTTTCCTGATAAACACTTACACAGATTGGGCAAGAGGTGAACAGTAGAAGGAGCCATCTTCTGGAACATTCTGACTCCCTGCAACTCACACTTCCAGAACATTTTATATTTTGATTAAAGGAAGAGCCATAAAGTAAGTCCACCTCTTTTTGAGTGGAAAAAAGGACCTGAATGTTTTCACTGGGAACTCAAATGCTGGGCATAAAATTAGTTCCTCAAATGTGATTTAGGTCCATGGAAGGAGCTCTTTCATCAAGCATACTTAGAAAAGAGAGTTAAAGCAAGTTAATCAGGCCCCTGAGTCCTCCCCCATCAACCAGATCCCCTAGTTCTCCCACATCAACCAGGGCGCTGAGTCCTCCCCCATCAACCAGGCTCCTGAGTCCTCCCCATCAACCAGGCCCCCGAGTCCTTCCCCATCAACCAGGCCCCCGAGTCCTCCTTCCTCAACCAGGCACCCGAGTCCTCCCTGACTCCTCCCTGTGGTGTGTGGTGTGTGTGTGGGTGCCTGGTGTGTGTGGGTGTGTGGTGTGTGTGGGTGTGTATGGTGTGTGTGTGTGGCATGTGGTGTGTGTAGCGTGTGGTGTGTGTGTGGTGTGTGTGTGTATGGCGTTTGGTGTGTGTGGTGTGTGTGTGGTGTGTGGTGTGTGTGGTGTGTGGTGTGTGTGTGGTGTGTGGTGTGTGTGTGGTGTGTGGTGTGTGTGGTGTGTGTGGTGTGTGTGGTGTCTATAGTGTGTGTGGTGTGTGTGGTGTGTGTGTATGGCGTGTGGTGTGTGTGG